CCGGAGCCCAGCAGGTCGAGGCTGCGGTGGCCGGGAGCGGCCACTGCCCTCCAGCCTAGGTGACAGAGTGAGACTCCAACTCAAAAAAAAAAAAAATAGAATCTGTCAAGACCCACCCGGGCAACTTGGTGAGACCTTGTCTCTACAATAAATCAAAAACTAGCCGGGCCTGGTGGTGCCCAATTGTAGGAAGGCTGAGGCGGAAGGATTGCCAGAGCTCAGCAGGTCGAGGTTGCAGTGGCTGGGAGCATGCCACTGCCCTCCAGCCTGGGAGACAGAGTGAGACTCCAACTCAAAAAAAAAAAAGAATCTGAGCCACACAGGTAACTTAATATTTTCTAGTAGCCACAGTAAACAGCAAAAACAAACGGGGATACTGGATTCAATAACATATTCTATTAAACCCAACATAACCAAAACAGTATCATCTCAATGTACAATCAATGTAAAACTTATTAACGATATATTTTACATTCATTTATTCGCACTAAGTCTTCAAGATCTGGAGTCTACCTTGCACTTAGAGCACAGTTCAATAGGGACCACGTATCAGGGCTCTACAACCACAGTGGCCAGCACACTGGACAGCTTGGGCAGAGACCATCATTTCATTCCTTTTCAGCCAAGCATCCTCATCCCCCACCCTCCCTCTGCTGGGCTGGAGCCCCAGTTCTCCACGGCTCAGTTTCTCCAGAGTATAAACTCTCTTGGGGACACATAGCTAACTATGTGGTCTCATGGGGGTTTCGGCTACCTGGGGTGGTTATCTGCTTCTTTTTTTTTTTTTTTTTTGAGTTGGAGTCTCACTCTGTCACCCAGACTGGAGTGCAGTGGCCGCTCCTGGCCACCGCAGCCTCGACCTGCTGGGCTCCGGCGATCCTTCCGCCTCAGCCTTCCAAGTAGCCGGAATTACAGGCACGCGCTACCACGCCCGGCTGATTTTTTGATTTATTGTAGAGATGAGGTCTCGCTGCCCAGGCGGGTCTCGAACCTGCGGGCTCAGGCAATCCACTCACCTCAGCCTCCCAAAGGCGCGGAATGACAGGCTGAGCCACCGAGCCCGGCTGGTTATCTGCTTCTTAACTAGACCTTCCAAATGCTCCAGCCCTACCCTGTCTCCTGCTTCCTGGGGTACCTGGTGCCCCTGGCCGTAGAGCAGCTTCGGGTACTTCACTCAGCAGCGTCACCCCAGACAGCATTCCTGTCGCAGCTTTCTGGCTCTGGGACATCACTGCCACTCCCTGCCAGCTTTCTGTGTTCCTAAATGTGTTGACCGTTCACAGCCACCCTACCCTTCCCAGCCTTTGTGTTTACGGGCTTGGACCATTTCTGTGTCTTCACTATCATTGTAGAGGGGCTTCAGGGGGAAGTAGAGATAAATGTGTAAGTTCAGTGTGCCATGTTTAAGCGGAAGTCAGGAAATGTTGTGTTTTATCTTCCAAATTCTTGTGTACATGATCTCTTCTGCAGTCCAAAATGTGTTCTTGTTTAAATAAGACGGTGGTGGCTTATATTACCAGTTAAATGGCCAAGCATTTTACAAACTAACATTTGAATAAAATAGATCCTTCTCCCATGACCTGTGTCCAAACCCCAGCTCCCACCCCTGCACACAGCCAGGCAGGTCCCAGTTCAAGAAGAGGGTTCCACAAGCCTGCAAAGGAGTCGCAGTCTCCTCTGCCGCCTTCTCTGCAGAAGTCCCCTGGAGCCTGGCCCAGGCTCCCAGGAGACCTTCTAACCCCAAGTGGCCTTCGGGATCCCAGGGCATTCCCAGACCCCTTGAAGTATGTTGCTACACATTTATACAGGATGACAAAGGAGTTTCCATGGAAACCAAATCTTGGTACCTACTCAGTACCTAGGCTGGGGTTGCCGAATGTTCTCGTGCATGTGTTGAAAATGGAGTCCTCTGTCCCTTCTTTATTTTCTATCTCAGGTTCTCCGGCCATTTTTGTCGCTTCGTGGGCCCTCACCAGGCACTTTCTGGAAGACATCGGGTAAGCTGTTGGAAGGAGCGGTAACAAGGGTGTATTTGACATCATCCAGCTTTTCAGACAGCACAGATACAGCTATCTAGGAAAGGCCTGTTTCTCAGAATAGGGATCGCCGGAGCTCAGCAGGTCGAGGTTGCAGTGGCTGGGAGTATGCCACTGCCCTCCAGCCTGGGAGACAGAGTGAGACTCCAACTCAAAAAAAAAAAAAAAGAGTCTGAGCCACACAGGTAACTTAATATTTTCTAGTAACCACAGTAAACAGCAAAAACAAACAGGGGATACTGGATTTAATAACATATTCTATTAAACCCAACATAACCAAAACAGTATCATCTCAATATACAATCAATGTAAAACTTATTAACGATATATTTTACATTCATTTACTCACACTAAGACTTCAAGATCTGGTGTCTATCTTGCACTTAGAGCATAATTCAATAGGAACCATATATCAGGGCTCTACAGTCACAGTGGCCAGCACACTGGACAGCTTGGGCAGAGACCATCATTTCGTTCCTGTTCAGCTGAGTCTTCCGGAGTAATGCCCATTGCTCCTGGGTGTGTTTCCAGAGGGGGCAAGCAGCCTTGGCCACAGTCACTTTGCCCACTTGCCAGCTCTGTGCATAGGGCAGGTGTCAGGCCAGAGCTGTGGGCTCCGGGCAGGTGTTACACAGTGGAGGAGGCTCATGGAAGGGCCAGCCCAGTGTTTCCTTCCTCCTGGCATCTTCTTCCTGGATTCCTCCCCACCCCTGGGTGTTTAGGAACCCTGCAGAACCAGGCTTTAAAGAAGCCCAGCACTGCGGGGGAGGTCAGCCCAGAGACACACCTGAGAGTAGGCATGTGGGAGGCAAGCTTGAAAGACGGCAGGGATGAATTGAGACAGCGTGACCGAGTGGGAGTCGGTTTCTCCAGGACATAATGACACAGCCGGGCCAACAAGTGGAGCAGTTGGATGAGGAATACAAGTGTCTTGTAGTCCAAATTTAGCCCAAAATGATTGCTTCAAAACACTTTTAATTTTTAAGTGGCTTCAAAATGATTGTCCTAATTCGCTTTTTAAAAACATTTGAATTTTCAGCCTCCTTGGAAAAAAAAATGGGAAGGTCTTTTAACATTTCTCATTTTTCCTTGTGGCTGGAGCAGAGTTTTGGCTGCCTTGGACAGGGTACATGCTTCCCAGTTGGCCAAGTACCCTTCAGGCCTGATGTCCCCTGAATCCCGAGGTCACATGTCAGCCATCCAACCTCTTCACTCACTGATGTCATCTGCCTGGCCTCTGTTGGCAGTTGAATTTGCCACTGTGCTCCCCAGTGGATTCTGACAACGAGGTCAGGGATCCAGGGCTCTCCTGGCCCACAGGCCCCACAGATGTGCGCGGAGACAGGTGGCCGCTCCCTCGGCCCTAGCAGTGCTCCTGGGCGGCGGGCAAGGGGCCACAGCATGGGTCCTTTGTACCTAGGGCCACCTCAGGGAACATGTCCTTGCCCGTGGGACCAGCTCCCGCTCCTAACCCTGCCTGGCTTTCTCTCCCATAGGTGCTGGGACATCAATGCCAACACATCCATCTGGTGGGTCATTCGAGGGCCTGTGATCCTCTCCATCCTGGTGAGTGGCCATCCTCCCTGAGCTTGGGGTGAGTGGGAGAGACTAGAACAGTGACCGGCCAGCAGGGGCAGAGGGCGGGGAGAGAGGGCTCCCTCCAGCTGCGGGGAGGGATAAGCCACAGGCTTCCAGAGGCTAGAGAGCAGTGTGGGGTCTGGAGCTCCAACCCCTACAGAATGTGGGAGAGAGTGGGGTGAGGGGCGGACAGGAGGCAAGAGTTTATGGACGTTGCTCTTTTCCATGAGCTGCAGCTGGAGTGTAATGAGCAGAGTTCCTTGTCCTAAACTGGTCACTCCCACTGGCCTGAAATTCCACCTTCACTGGTTCAGAGCTGTGGGCCTTGGACATTTTTCTAGGCGTTCTCTGGGAGGAGTCGCTGAGCTGGGACCACAAAAGGAGGCGGGGATGTGGCTGGGGGAAGCTGAGTGAGGCCATGGGCTTGGGGGTGGGCCTGCAGGAGTGACCTCAGGGGAGGGATGCGGGAGTGACCCTCCCGGATGGGCGCTCGGAAGGTCTCAACCCTGACCTCCCTTTCAAATCACCTGAGAGCTTTGAGAAAATACTCAGAGAGATTCAGACTCTTGTTCTGGCAGGCTACATCTTTAAGACCCCAAGTGCTTCTGCTCTGCACCAGGGTTGAGAACCCTCTATCCGAGCCTGGGGGCAAGAACGGGGGTAAAAGTAGGGGGACAGAGAAGAGCGGACACCTGGGGACGCACAGGAATTGTCTCGCAGATGGACTCAGCCTTCAGCTGGAACTAACATCCACAGGGCTCAGGGATGCCCAAGGCCACAGATCAAGGTAACAGAGAATGCAGCCGGGCTCGATGGCTCAGCCTGTAATCCTACGCCTTGGGAGGCTGAGGTGAGTGGATTGCCTGAGCCCGTGGGTTCGAGACCCGCCTGGGCAACTTGGCGAGACCTCATCTCTACAATAAATCAAAAAACTAGCCGGGCATGGTAGCGTGTGCCTGTAGTTCCAGCTACTCGGAAGGCTGAGGCAGAAGGATCGCCGGAGCCCAGCAGGTCGAGGCTGCAGTGGCCTGGCGACAGAGTGAGACTCCGACTCAAAAAAACAAACAAACAGAGAATGGCTTTCGCCAGGCTTTCTGGGCTGGGGTAAGGGGAGAGGGCACGGGACAGGGTGGCGGCTCCTTCCTCGTCCACTAGCTGACTTGGTGACCTTTTGGGACCCGCTGAGAGGACGGGCCATTTCATGACAACCTTCTTTTTTTTAACAGAATAAGCACGAAAAATGTACAAAACACAAAGTGGTTTTTTGGGGGTTTTTTTGAGACAGAGTCTCACTCTCACCCAGACTGAAGTGCAGTGGTATGATCACGACTCACTGCAGCCTTGAACTCCTGGGGCAAGGGATCCTCCCACCTCAGCCTCTCAAGTAGCTGGATTACAGGTGCTCACCATCATGCGCTCCTAATTTTGAAGAGATGGGGGTCTTACTGTGCTGCCCAGGCTGGTCTCACGTGATCCTCCTGCCTCAGCCTCCCAAAGTGCTGGAATTACAGGCATAAGGCACCATGCCCAGCCTACAAAAATGTATTTTTTAAAAGGAGAAAAAAAGTCACTCATCGTTCTACATGAAACATACATATTATGAGCATGCTGTACCTTTTCTTCCTGTCATTTTCTTTGAGCAGACAAAACTTTGCCTTTTCAAAATATTTAATATAGTTTTGCATCCTAGTTGGGTTTTTTTTTCCCACTTAGCAATAGATGTGCGCTTTTCTGTGTCATTTCAAACTATTTGACACACTAATTTGCTATGGCTTCATAAAATTCCTGCAGGAGGCGATTTCCCCATTTGGTGAGGCCAGCCCAGCCATTGTTCTGAGTCTTGGACAGCCCAGCCCAGGAGAGACCTGGATGAGGCCTACCAGCTCCAGGGTCCAGGGCTGGTTTCAAAGGATCAAGGTCTACCTAGCAATTGAGGATGTTGGGTGGGCACTCATGACACAAAATACCTCCCCACCCACATGTTGTGGGGCCTAAAATTCTGCTATTTAAAATTAGACTCAGCCGGGCTCGGTGGCTCAGCCTGTAATCCCAGCACTTTGGGAGGCCAATGCAAGTGGATTGCCTGAACCCGTGGGTTTGAGACCTGCCTGGGCAACTTGGCGAGACCTCGTCTCTGCAATAAATCAACAAATTAGCTGGGCGTGGTAGCGCACACCCGTAGTTCCAGCTACTTGGAAGGCTGAGGCGCAGGGATCGCCGGAGCCCAGCAGGTCGAGGCTGCGGTGGCCGGGAGTGGCCACTGCCCTCCAGTCTGGGTGATGGAGTGAGACTCCGACTCAAAAATAAAATAAAATAAAACAAAATTAGACTCATTCTTGGGATCTTAAAGACTTATTATTATTATTATTATTATTTTGCCTTCAAATGCTTCCTATTAAATTAAATACAACTCTAATGCAAGCAGAGTTAAGTTAAATGAAATTAAATAGCCTTTGTGAGTTGACAGCACTTACAACCAGCTTAGAGCAAGGCTGCTGAGAAGTAGTGTTCCCCAAAAGGCAGTGCTGGGCCAGGAGCCCTAGACAGTCACTAATCCTGTGTCTTTTGGCAAGCGTTCCCAGGCCGCAGGCTACCCATGTGAATAATGACTGTGCCAGGCTGGGTGATTTCACTGATCCTGCTTTTGTCAAATGACCCTGGAGTAGGTGGGTGAGAGGGGAGGAGAGATGTGGACAGCTTCCTAACATGGCCGGCACTGGGGTTGGCCGAGGGGACACCCAAAGAAATAAAAAGACTGAATTCCTGCCCTTCAGGAAGTTACTATTGAGTTGGCAGATAAGTAGGCACACACGTTTGACAGATAAATACATGCAGTCCCGTTAAGATATTCGAAGTGCTCTTACACAGTAACATCAGCCCTAAATACAATGCATCAGTAGAGGTAGGTAATCAATGGTGGCTTCCTGGGGCTGGTGATTGAGCTACAAACTAGTCCTCAGATCAGCAACTTCAGCGTCATCTGGGGGGTGTTAAAGATGAAAATTCTGGCCAGGCACAGTGGCTCATGCCTGTTATCCCAGCACTTTGGGAGGCTGAGGCTGGAGGATTGCTTGAGCCCAGGAGTTCAACACCAGCTTAGGCAATTGGCAATATAGGGAGACCTCGTCTCTATAAAAAATCAAAAAATTAGCTGGGTGTGGTGGTACACGCCTATAGTCCCAGCTACTAAAGCGGCTGAGGCAGGAGGATTGCTTGAGCCCAGGAGGTTGAGGCTATGGTGAGCCATGATTGTGTGCCACTGCACTCCAGCTTGGGCTGAAGTGAGATCCCAATTCAAGAAAGGAAGGAAGGAAGGAAGGAAGAAAATTCTTGATCAGACACGGTGACTCATGCCTGTAATCCCAGCATTTTGGGAGGCTGTGGTAGAATTGCTTGAGCCTAGGAGTTCGAGGTTATAGTGAGCTATGATCATGTACCTGGGTGACAGAGCAAGACTCCTATCTATTAAAAAGGAAGAAAAGAAAATGATTGGGTCCCAAGCCAGATTTGCAGAACCCTAATCTATAGGAGTGCAGCCCAGCAACTTTGAGAACCACTCAGCCACTGCTGTGAAATGATCAGCTTTGGCATTACATGAACTGGGGCTTGTTAGAAATGCAGAACCTCCAATTTTTGGGCAGTGGCTGAATTCTCCCTGGCTCCCTCCCTCCTCCACCCTCTCGTTAATTGTCTTGTTTTAGAGTCCCGTGTTCTGCTTTAATATCTTGGTTCTCATTTTGCCTATTGTCTCAATTTCGAGGGTGGTGTATGATTGGGACCTAATCAAAGAGGTTTCAGTGACCTTGGCTGCTATGAATGACATGATAGGTGCTGTCTCTGGCGGTAGATAAATAGGTAGAATTGTAGTCTGGACATCTTTAGGAGTTAGAATCTAACCTCAAGAATAGGAAACATAAGTACAGGGATAAAGGAGCACTCCTGTTTTCTGGGATGGGGAGGTTTTACACTAACAAACTCAGTTCAGGTGAAGGGTTAAGCTGTAACACACTTGGATTTCCTCAGCCCCTTTTGGCTGTAGTACTGCAGCCCTGATTTGTTCATGACGCTAATATGTGTAGATACTTTGTATTTTGTGACGTCATGATGACATCAGTGCCAATTTCGCTGGTTTAAGTACAAATAAATAAAATAACCTTTTTACCTCTAAAAAACAAGAAATGCAGAATCTCGGACCCACCCCAACCTGCATTTTAACAAGATCCTCAGGGGAGTCCAGTGCTCTTCAAGGGTGAGGAAGCTGCCCAGCAAGTGAACAGACCTTAGAGCTCTTGCATTCCAGGGATAGGAAGGAGTGCTACCTGCAGCCATGGTCTCCAAACCATTTGTTTCACCAGGACTTGCGAGGGGTGGAGCAGGGGTGATGTGCCATCCTAATTGTGGTGTCTGCAATGCCTTCTCTACCTCAGGACCAGGGGACAGGGCCAGGAGAGGTGACTGGGAAAAAAAGACACCTGAGGCCCCACCTCTGCCTTGTGTTTTGCAGATTAATTTCATCCTTTTTATAAACATTCTGAGAATCTTGATGAGAAAACTTAGAACGCAAGAAACAAGAGGAAATGAAGTGAGCCATTACAAGTAAGTGGAGGGCAAAGACTGGGCATGCTCAGTCCGTCAGCAAGCATTTACTGAGCACCTGCTGTATACTCCACTGGCACTGGAGGTGGGGGAAAAGTTGTAGACCTAGTCCCAAGAAGTTTGTAGTGTAAATGGGGATGGGTGGGGAGGGAAATAAGTCTGATTGTGAAGCCTCAGACACTATGGGGGAGGGAGGGGGTGAGGGGATTAAGAAATCCCAGGCAGGAAGCCTGGAAACAGATCTTACCCTGGGGCAAGACTGGGGGGTCTCAGCATGGGTTCAGGGACCCCAATTCAGACAAATCTGTGTAGGTACAATGTGTATTTGTCAGGGGAGAATGCCTTAGCTTTCATCAGGCTTTTAAGGAGATGCATGATCCAAAAATACTTAAAACCTTGAAGATGTCCAGTCTCGGTTGGCTCAGCCTGTAATCCTAGCACTTTGGGAGGCCGAGGCGAGTGGATTGCCTGAGCCTGCGGGTTCAAGACTTGCCCAGAAACTTGGCAAGACCTCGTCTCTACAATAAATAAAAAATTAGCCGGGCATGGGAGTGCACACCTGTAGTTCCGGCTACTTGGAAGGCTGAGGAAGGATCGCTGGAACCCAGCCGGTCGAGGCTGTGGTGGCCAGGAGCATGCCTGCCACTGCACTCCAGTCTGGGCAACAGAGTGAGACTCCAACTCAAAAACAAAAAACCAACAAAAAACCTTGAAGATGTTAAAGAGAAATATGTTTTCTAGGGCTGCTATAACAAAATATCACAAACTAGGTGGCTCCAACAGCAGATATTTATTTTCTCACAGTTCTAGAGGCTGAAAGTCCAAGATCAAGGTGTCCTAAAGCCTCTCCTTGGCTTGCAGATGGCCACCTTCTCCCGTATCCTCACATGGCCTTTCCTCTGTGGGTGGATACCCCTGGTGTCTCTCTGTGTGTCCAGATTTCCTCTTCTTATAAAGATACTAGTTGATTAGATTAGGCCCCACCCTGCCCTCATTTTAGCATAGCTACCTCTTTAAAAACTCTCCAAATATCACATTCTGAGACTCTGGGGGTTGGGGCTTCAGTATAAGAACTTGGGAGGAAAGCTCTTCAGCCCATAACAGATGTTAAAGACCATTTTGTGTCCAACAGAGACTTTTTCCATTTTGAGTTTTGAGAATATGGCAGTGGCTTGGATTATTGGTGTCAGATTCCTGAGGATCCGGGATAAAGCTGCCAGATAAAATACAGGATGCCCCGCTACATTTGAATTTTAGATAAACAACAAATAGTTTTTTAGTACTTATACCCTCAAAGAGGACCCATTGTTTATCTGGAATTCAGATGTAACTGGGCATCCTGTATTTTCACTTGCTAAATTTGGCAACCCTAATCTGGGAAGAAAATACTTCTCCTTACAGGTATTCAGTATCTAACAAATAGAAAAGCTGGCTTTGCTTGTATGTTAGGCAAAGAGTGGCAGTAATATATGCACATAATTAATGAATAAATACATACGTAAATAAAGTTATTCGGGTGGGTACCGATTTTTTTTCTTTTACTGAAAAAAAAGAGCTGTGTGATCAGAAAGTTTTGGGGATTACCCGAGTTGATAAGTGTTGTATCTGGGTGATGGGTATGTGGGAGGTAGACATTTTCCAAAAAAAAAGTGAAAACAAAGAAGCCTGGGGATACTGCGGCCAAGCCTCAGTGATGAGGCCTGAACTGGGAAGCCGCAAAGTTGCACATCGTGGGAAGGGGCCGGAGGACGGCAGAACAGGAGGCTGCAGCGTGTCTCTACATCCCCAGGCGTCTGGCCAAGTCCACCCTCCTGCTGATCCCCCTCTTTGGCATCCACTACATCGTCTTCGCCTTCTCCCCAGAGGACGCCATGGAGATCCAGCTGTTTTTCGAATTGGCCCTTGGCTCATTCCAGGTAAGCTTCAGGGACGGTGCCTGCAAGCTGCGGAGCGTTCTGTCTGTCCGTAGAGAGAAGTGGAGGCCAGAGAGACAGCAAGCCAGCGCTTCCTAAATTTCTGTGGTGGCTTGGAACGGGGGAGGTCTCATTTGGCAGACACCCAGGGGAAGGAGAAATGAGCTTAAGTGTGCTGTGGCACCCCACCAGTCAAGTGGGGGTGGGAGATAAAACTAAAAGAGACTGAGAGACTGACTCAACGGAAAACAGTAAGAAAAAGTAACCCCAGGACAGGACACTATATTGTACAAGTCTCAATAGCAAGACGTTGTCAAAATAATCTAAATGCTGATGGCCAAGTCATCAAAAAGTCAGGCAGGGGTGGGGAGTGTTTGAAATAGAACAGTATCCTCATTTTCATTACTGGGAAGTCCACAGAAAATGCCCAAAGTTGAAAACTCCACAAGTAGCAACATCAGCATATTATTTAGAATCAGTTAAGAGTTTCAAGTGATAGTTACATCTAAGGAACAGGAAATGGGGGCAGGGTGTCAGGAGGTTGTTGGTTTTTTTGCAACGGGAATCATTTGACTTTTTCAAACTATGTGCATTCACGGGTTATTAAAACTAAAAACTGACTTAAAAAAATAAAGACAGAAAGTGAGGTGGAAAATCACTCACCTAAAATTCAGCAAGATAAGCGGTTAAAAAAAAAAAGTAAACGTGTTTGGGACATGAGTCCCACAATGTCATTTGTTTATTTACTCAGAGTTATTTCCTTCCAAAAAGAATGTGATGTTGCTTTTGGAAAAACATACAGAAGAAAAAAAATAAGTAGAGGAAGGATCAGTGAAAAAGAATATAAAGCTGGTTGAGTTCACATACAAAAAAGAATTTGATAACGTCCTGTAAAGGTAGAAGAGATGATCCTGGGGGTTCGAGACCAGCCTGGGCAACTTGATGAGACCACGTCTCTACAATAAATCACACACACAAAAACTAGCTGGTGTGGTGGCATGCGTCTGTAGTTCCAGCTACTTGCAAGGCTGAGGCGGAAGGATCGCCTGAGCCCAGCAGGTTGAGGCTGCGGTGACCACGAGCATGCCAGTGCACTCCAGACTGGGTGACAAAAGTGAGGCTCCAACTCAAAAAAAGAAAAAAAGGTGGGAGAGATGAGGCTTAGAGCTTCCCAGTAGCCAAAGCAAAGACAAACGGCCTGTTTCAGGATTTATGGGATCCATAAAACCAAAACAAACTAATGGCCAGGAAAAGCTCAGTGATTATAGGCTCTGGTGCTTGAGAGGAAATTCTCCCAATTTTTTTTTTTTAAAGGAGTTAGCCCATCTTCAACAATGTTTCCACAATAGGGTGATATTGTCCTCCAAAGTCTTCACTGGAGGAGGCCTCAGCTTCAGGGAGGGGTCTCAGAACCTCCCCTCATCCCCAGAGTTCTGTTCAGGACGCAGCACTGGGAACACATCACAGGTGGAGTCAGGTCCTGCCCTCCCCACGCCTTCAGACCCTCCCCTCCTCGGAGCTGCTCCTCTGCCCCGCACCCCCCCCACCAGGCCTCCTGAGAACCCAGCCTCTGGCTTTATCCGTGATTCTTGCCTCTCAGCCAGAGAGCCGGGAAGCTTTCCCCACCTCTTGTCATGTTGGGGCAGACTGGGCACACAGTGGCCCATTTAGCAGGCAGGGGACTTGCGGTCCATCCAGTCAGGTGAAACGACTTGACTTGGCTCAGAAGAGGGACTGTGCTGAGAGCTAGGAGACCCAGGTCCACCCTGTCCTAGATGGAGTCCTCCTATTTCCCAGAGTTGGGCCTGCGGACTGCTTCTTCGGGAAAGTGGCTTGTCAAGAAAAAACCAAAAGCACTTTCTAAATGTTCCTATAGATGTTTATGAAGAAAAGGAAGCTTTAAAAGTTTTATGCACATATATGTATGCATATGTTCTTATATACGCACACATAAATAAAACACATGTGTACATATACATATATGGAAATGTCTTTCATACAAAAGTGAAGAGAGTAGGACAATGAACTTCCTTTCCCATCCTCAGCAACATCCACGCAGGGCCTGTCTTGTTTCATCTCCATCCCTACCCCGCTATCCATCCCCACCTTTTAAGGGAAATCCAAGACATCCTATTATTTCATCTGTAAGCATCTAGTATGTACTTCTTTTTTTTTTAGATTACAAAATATTTTAAAGCAAATTAGAGAGAGAGAGAGAGAGGAGATTCACCTCCCCAAGGTAGGGAACAGGTCAAAAACTAGGAAACATGGCCACTCCATGTCGTAACAAGGCAATGGCCTAGTATGTACTTCTAGAAGACAGCAGTTTAAAGAAGAGCACACACAACCACCATACCATTATCACTGTTATATACTTATTTTTTTTTCTGAGTTGGAGTCTCACTCTGTCGCCCAAGCTGGAGTGCAGTGGCCGCTCCTGGCCACTGCAGCCTCGACTTGCTGGGCTCCGGCGATCCTTCCGCCTCAGCCTTCCAAGCAGCTGGAACTACAGGCATGCGCTACCACACCCGGCTATTTTTTTTTTATTTATAGTAGAGGTGAGGTCGCCAAGTTGCCCAGAGGGGGTCTCGAATCCACAGGCTCAGGTAATTCACTCACCTCGGCCTCCCAAAGCGCGGAATTACAGGCTGAGCAACTGAGCCCAGCCTGTTATATAAAAACCTAAAATGTATTAACTCTTTCTGATTGCATGAATAAACACTTGCTTATTGTGGATCATTTGAGATATAAGAAAAAGTAAAAAAGAAGGAAAAAACCCCATACCATCTCATAATCCAGAAATAACCTCTGCTAAAATGTTGGTGTGTTTACTTCCGTCTCTTTTCTGTCCACAAAGATACACAGACACATAATTTGGGTCATGATGAGTACGGTCTTGTATCCTGCTGGTTTTGCTTAATTCTCTATCATGCCCGTCATGAACGTTTCCTCGTGTCATTAAAATTCTTCAAAGTCTTCATTCTTAATGATCATAAAATCACTGTGGAATTTAGTAAACTTGCTGGCTTGGTGAGACTTGCCCTATATACACTTGGAGCACAGCGAAGTTGGTCCCTGGAGCCCCTCCCCGCCCCAAACAGTGAAATGTGGCCTTTTCCCCCGGGCAGGTGAGGAGGGCTGCAGCCTCAGCCGGGCCAAGGATCTGGGCCAAGCACAAAGAGCTCTAGTCATGCCTACACTGCTCTGTGACTCAGTGCTCTCACCTATAAAGTGGGCATCTTCCTACCTACCTCTGAGGGCCTTGGCAAGAGCTTTGAAACACCTGGAACCCAGAATCCTACAATGACCCAGACGAGGCTGTGCTCTAGTATAGATTTTTTTTTTTTTTTTTTTTTTGAGTTGGAGTCTCACTCTGTCGCCCAGACTGGAGTGCAGTGGCCGCTCCCGGCCACCGCAGCCTTGACCTGCTGGGCTCCGGCGATCCTTCCGCCTCAGCCTTCCGAGTAGCCGGAATTACAGGCATGCGCTACCATGCCCGGCTGATTTTTTTTTTATTTACTGTAGAGATGAGGTCTCGCTGCCCAGGCGGGTCTCGAACCCGCGGGCTCAGGCAATCCACTCACCTCAGCCTCCCAAAGGCGCGGGATTACAGGCTGAGCCACCGAGCCCGGATTAGTATAGATATTTAGAAGCCTGTCTTGAAGTGCCTTTCACTGTCTCTGACCGGGGTTCCCAGGTGGTGATGCCTGTGTGTTGGAACTATCTAGGGAAGCTTTAAAAGCTGCCAATACTCCTGCACCCAGTTGGGGTTTAGGAAGCGTAACCTGGGCAAAAAGCTCCCAGGTGATTCTAATGTGCAACAAAATTTGGAAACCACTGCCCTGAGTTAAGTGTTCCTGCCCTTCAAATAGTCCCCATTCCATATAGGAGTCCTTGGTGCCTGCAGTTCTAAAGCAAACTCTTCTAGCCTCATCACTCACTCTTGTTCAAATGCCCACCTCCCTAATCAGTCGCACATATTAAACCCACAATAGACAGGCTGGCTCATCGCCCTTTGGGTTCCTTTCCAATGTAGTGAGATGCTACAGCAGGCCTGGGCGGGGTTAGGCCATCTCGGGTCAGAGCTGTGGTGACGCCTCTATGGAGGGAGAGCAGGCCTGTAAGGGAGAGAAGGGTGGCCCGAGATAAGTCTCTGAAAGAGGAGGCGAGCAGGAAGGGTGGCCCGAGATAGGTCCCCGAAAGAGCAGGCGAGCAGGAGAGACACACAGAGATGCCGCTCCCTGCTGGTCTGCAGGCCTCAGGCTCCAAACAGGCATCCCACACTGGAGCCCCTGCCCTGGCAGAGCCCGCTGCCAGGATCCTGGGGGCACCGTCAAGAAATCGGGAGCTCCAGATACCGGGGAGGGAGGGTCTTAACAGGCACGCCTGGTGGGGTCAGACCACGGAGATGCAACCATCCATTTTCATTAAGCAAAGAGATCAAACACTGCTGCCATCTGGCCCAGACCGCCTCAGCTTGTTCTGACCACATTTTTCCAGTTTGAACTAGTTATCCGTGTCTAAACATCTTCAGATTCCCAGTTTATTTTGAGAACAAGACCATACAGGGCCCAGGGGCTTGCCCTGGGTGGGCTCCACTCCCTCCTAGTGGGGTGGGCATGCTTCAGGCACCTCCACTCCCTGCTGCTCCCAGGTGGCCCACCTTCCTAATTCAGGTGAGCTGTGCTGTCCCCACTGGCAGAGTTAGCAGACCCTACTTTACTGTCCCTGACTTCACATGTGTTTGAGGCCCTACATTAGACAGCAAGCACAAGAGACGAAAGGGAGCCAGCCCATGCTTGGTTGCAAGAACTCGTCTATGCTGGGTGATATAGGCACAGCCAAGGGCACTCTGGGAAGCCCACCAGAGGTAGGCCAAATTCCACCCCCCAGGTGAGAGGGGTGGGGAAGTCTGCCTGCAGCTTGTGATCAAAGGACCTGGGGAGGACGGGGTTGGCCAGCTGTCCAAGGCTGGGTGCTGTCCAAGACTGGGTCCTGAGCACCTGCACTAACCCCCTGCTACCTCTGCTCCTCTGGCAGGGACTGGTGGTGGCCGTGCTTTACTGCTTCCTCAACGGGGAGGTGAGTGATCTTGGGTTGTCCAGAAGCCTGGGAGAGCTCCTGGCCACTGGATTCTGGGTCAGGAGCAGCTACCAGGGAAGGGTGGTGGGAAGGTCTGGGCCTTCTAGCAAGGGATTTAGTCAGTCTTATGGGAGTCTGAGCTCAATTGGTGGGAGCCACAGAATCACCTGGAGGGCTTGTTCAAAACATTGCTGGGCTCTACTCTCAGTTTCTGATTTAGGAAAAATGGATTCTGTCAGTCTGGGCTGAGGTCAGAGAAGATGTTTTTGTTGTCATTTTTTATAAACAAGGTGTTTCTTTGTCATGGGCAAGTTCAGGAGACACAGGATGGAGGAACCCAGGTTCCTGACTTCCCTGCTGCTTGCTCAGTGGGATGATCTCAGTCACTGCCCTTCTCTGGGCCTGTCTTCCCGTATGTGAAATGAGTGACTCAGAAGAAATGTCTGCAACTCAGTCCTTAGTGACCTCCAAATGAGTGTTGAGTCCTTAGGAGACCACACACTCAACTTGAGGACCCTGGTCTTACACAGAGCATCTGGGTCAAGACACAAGCTCCACGCACACAGAAGCGGTGTAATCAACATCCCTCCAACACAGTATTGCACATAAGTCAAGCCTTTCTGTGACTGTTGACCGCCTATCTGGTTTTTGCATTTGACTGGGGGTGATCTCTGACGTCTTACAAAAATCAGGCATCAGGCTAGTCTCAAAGGTTTGACTGCTGCACCTGGGGATTATGAACATTTCCACAGAGCAATTTCATGGGTCCCAGATAAGTTCTGAGTTTGGGTGGCTTCTTGGGAGTAAGTATCCAGTCGTCCCAGGTACAGATCTGGATGTTTGAGTTCTGGAGTGTGGGAAATCTTTGGAATACAAAGTGATGAGATGATCGGTACAAGTGCCCAGGGGGATGGGGGGGCCCTCAGGGCCTCCTGGACATCAGGGCTAGGAATGGTCAGTCTGAGTGACCTGCAGGTGAGAGGACTGCAGGACCGCTGGGCAGGAGTGGCAGGGCCTGTGGGGAGCCGCCGCCATCCCCCCCGGGGGGCATGGATGGGGTTGGGGCACAGAGCTGTGTTTTCCTCCAGTGCTGATGGCTTCTCTCTGGGACAGGTGCAGCTGGAGTTCCAGAAGAAGTGGCGGCAGTGGCACCTCCGTGAGTTCCCGCTGCGCCCCCTGACCCTCAGCTCCTCCTTCACCAACACCAAAGCCAGCCCCTTGGAGCACAGCCGGGGCACCTGCAGGGCCAGTGTCATCTGAGAGGCTGGAGCCCACAGACAGAGGCCAAGCGGGTCCTGAGAGGGCTGGACCCTACTGCAGGCAGTGCGTCTTCCCAGCAGATACCCTGTGCTCTCTCCTGTGACTGGTGACACCCCTCCCCCAGGCCCTGGATTCCCCAGAACAAAAAGGATGTGGGGCACCTTGGGGTGAGACGAGGGCCTGGGATTTGGTCTGTTTGCTCTTCCGGGAAGAGCAATTCAGGGGTCCCAGAAGGGGACGGGGAAATAAATGGTGCCTAGAACGAGATTTGGTCTGTATTTATCAGCCCTGTTGCTTTGACACGAGGTAAGGAGAGACTGCTCTGGCTGGCTCCCGGCCCCTTTCTACCAGAGGGAGTGTCCTCACTGGTCCGTCAGCTCTGGCTTTTCAGGGACAGGCTTAGAAGACTAGGGAACGTGAGAAATCATGGCCATTGGCCCTAAGAAGAGCCTGTCGTCCCCCACCGCCACTCACCTATCCAGTAGCTCTCACCTGAACTTTCAGGACTACAGCTACCTTCATCTGATGAAGTCACAATGGAGGCCAGGGGAGGCCCGTGGCCTCCCAGCCCCTTTGAGTATCTCCGACATGGTGTGAGGTACAACCCTGCCCCTACTGCTCTTTCACACAGTTGTCCTCAACCCAGAGGCAGGTGTAGCAGAAAACGGACACGATCTCATTTTACAGATGAGAAACAGGTCCACTAAGGCCCATAACTTGCCCATGCTTCTCAGCAAGGAGGTGGCCGAGGTTCAGTGAGGGCCTGTGACTTCCAATGTCCGCGCTCGAAGGCTGTCTGTGTGCTCCCTACTTCCAGACACTTTCTGACGGGGCATGCCGATTGCCCACTAAGCTCCCAGGACTTTAGTTTCACCCTTCACTCTGGTTCCTACAGTGTCTGCACTCCCTGCCTCCCTCTGAGGATGAAAGAGGACTAAATATTTGCACCTTTTTATAAAACAAAACCTACTTGGGGGGGATGCATTCTGGAGAGAGGTGGAGACAAGCCCCTCCAAAAAGGCACCTGGTTGGTGGGTGGGCCAGCTCTAGTCCTGGCTTTGGGTGACCCTGGACAAGTGCATCCCTCTCTGGGCTCTGGCTCCCCACTTCCACTCCTCCCCTCCCTGCAGAGACAGGGAGGTCACCCCATGAGCCTTACAGACTACTCCAGGTCCCCATTTCGCAGGCTGAGCTGCAGCTTGTGGTTGACAGCTCTGCTCTCTGCAAAACCGAGCAGTCCACAGAAACCTTTCTGGGGTGGGTGATCACCGCAGGCTCTGGACGTCATGGCAGCCCAGCCTTCGCATCCACGCCCTTACATTCTGTGGCACACCGCCTCACAACTCTGTGTATCTTGGAATAAGAACCTTTAAAATCGCAATAGAGGTAGGTATCGGCAGTCAGCCCAGCCCAGAAAGGGGACCTGCAGTGACCAAACACCTGTGCAGTTGCTAGAAGCCAGAATTCACCTAGTGGGGCAGGGGAGAGGGGCCAGTGTGGAATGAAGTGGGACGAGGGCAAAAGCCTCACCTACTTCGGGCAGAACAAATGACTGGAAAGGGTGCGATTTGAGAAACGGAAAATGCAGACCTGCTGGCAAGGACGGAAATCTCCACTGGCTCCTGGGCCCCTTCACCTCTGCTCATCCCCAAGATGGCTGTTAATCATTACCAGGGTCTGGCTGTTCCCCTTCACCCCCTGGGGAGCCCAGCAGATCCACATACGTGCTCGTTGAAATGTGTTCTAGGATCAGAAATAGTGCTCTGAGGCTGTCTGGCCCTTAACAAGATGGATGAGTACCACTGTACATTAGAAGCCAGGCAGGCCCTCCTGGGGGGTGGGGGGTGTTGCCCGAGGACTCTTCTCGAAGCAAGAAGGAAACACACCTTAAGGCAGGATTCTGAGAGGCAGAGCCCCAGAGGGAAGAACCAGTTGCTAGCTTTGGGTGACCCTGGTCAAGTGCATCCCTCTCTGGGCCCTGGCTCCCCACTTCCACCCCTCTTCTGGATAAGTTGGGGTTATCCAGGGTTTGTTAGTTTCCACAAAGGGCAGAGGACAGATCAAGTCAAATGGTTTGAAAACCTACAATGTGCAAGACACCCCGAGGGAATCCTGAACTCTGCTTCCCTGGCATGACCCGGGCTAAAGCCAGAGAAATATGCACAAAGGCCCTTTGAGCTGGTAGAAGAAAGTCCTAAGCACAGACTGGACCCTCAGTTGGAAGAACGAGCCATTCTTAACAACCCCAGAAGCCCTGGGGATCCTACAGCCCGTATCCCAGCACGGCCAATGAGACAGGTATGAACAACTATCCTTAGCTGTACAGCTAGCTTAGCTTTTCACAAGTTACTCAGCTGCTTCCAAGTCTGCTCCAGCCCAGGGAAGAAAACACAAAAGGGTTTTATAATGTTTTTTTTCTTTTTCTAAAGTCAACACTCTAAAAGCCTGCCTAAGCCTGTGTAGCCGGTGGCACTGGGGCACTGTCCTAGCTCTGGCCCTGCAGACCAGCTGCAAAGCCCCCCCGGCCATTTCTGGCCAACCACCCAAAGGTGATGGGCTAAGAGGCAGTTTCAAGGTCACTGTCCCACTCCAGCCCGACCAGAGGCCACGTGTTGGAAAAGTCTCATGCTGACCACATTTTCTTGTAAAACATGACGTCCCTGAAGGGGCCCTAAAGTTTCCTTGGCTGTTCCCAGGGGTGAGTAATGCTGTTGATGTGAAGGCCACTGATGGCGTTCAGGAAGAAGAGGAAGGAGGCGATGAATTCACACCAGAACATCAGGGTGAAGCCGAAGAGCGTGACTTGGTTCCTGAGGAGGATGACGAAACTCAGAAGTCCCCCGGAGGAGAAGACGAAGGAGACCAGCAGGAGGACAGAGCCCACGGCCCACTTGCGCCGTGAGTGGGCGTCCTCGCACACCTGAGACACCATGAGGAGCTCCAGGCCAAAAATCGCCGCCACCACGGCCAGGGCGCCCATGCTGCGTGCCAGGCCCACCCCCACAGCCAGCCCGGGCACGTGGGCCTGGCCCAGGTCTCGGAGACAGGTCGGCTCACTCCAGTTGGCGGTGGTGCAGAAGTGCCAAAGCCCAAAGAGACGGTTGTCCGCCAGGAGCCAGTGCCCGTCACACATGGAGACTGAGGAGAGGATCACGGCCAGGGAGGCACACGTGATGATGAGGGTCCGGATGAAGTATTCGAAGAAGGACCGGCGGGGCCGCCTTTGGCCCAACAGCCTCTGGGCCTGGAAGACACCATGGGAAGTGTCGTGTGAGCTGGGGTCCCGACACGTCCCTCCAACCTCTTCAGGGAAGACCCCTGAGTATAACTTCCACTTCCCACAGCCATATGACCTGCTTACCTGCTCTGGTCTTCTGTGAAGCTTGGAATGCCCCCATTGACTCAAAACTTTTTCAGCGCAGACCCACCTCTTATTTATTTATTTATTTATTCAGTTGGAGTCTCACTCTGTCGCCCAGACTGGAGTGCAGTGGCCGCTCCCGGCCCCTGCCGCCTCGACCCGCTGGGCTCCGGCGATCCTTCCGCCTCAGCCTTCTGAGTAGCCGGAACTACAGGCGCCCGCTACCACGCCCGGCTGATTTTTTGATTTATTGTAGAGATGAGGTCTCGCCAAGTTGCCCGGGCGGGTCTCGAACCCGCGGGCTCAGGCCATCTGCTCACCTCGGCTTCCCAAAGGCGCAGGATGACAGGCTGAGCCACCGAGCCCGGCTGTAGACCCACCTTTTATGGGAACCCTTCCTCTGTTCTAGACCGATGAGCATTTATTGTCCAATGTCCACCACGCACTAAGAGTCCTCTGACCTTTCATGATCGTTCTAGTGGAGGAGAAATCCAGATTGACCGGCAAATCCGAGTCTGTTCTGAATTCAGAGAACTTGCCTTGCCCGGCTCCAGCGACCTTGAATCTGCAGGTGCCTTGGTCTCTTTGTACACAAAACAAGAATACTGCCTGGCAGGGCCGGGAGGGTGGTGCCAGGCACGGGACATTAGTCTATCAACACAAAGTCCCGGTTCCCTCCACCTCCCCAGGACACACACACATTTGTCCTAACTAACCCCCACCCATCTGACCCTGCACTTTCCCGGGACGGCCAGGACTCCACGTTATTGCCTTGTTTTCCTCAGCATTGAGTGATGTTTGCACCCTGCCCTTCGGACTTATAGTGCCCGAACCCCACCCAGAGCTTGCAACCAAGCTCTGTCCCTGCAGCTTTAAGGTGTGGGGAAGCCACCGCACTGTGTCTCTCCTCAGCCTCTGGTCCAACACCTCGGTCTCCTGGAAAGCCAGGCTAGGTATCCAGTGGGGTGACCATTTGGGACACTGCCTGGGCACTGCCCCCAACCCTTGACCCACAAAGCCAAGACTTCAAAGAAAAAACTCCTTTCACAGCCCACAATTTCCTCCTCATGATCCACCCCCTCCCCCATGATCCACACTCCCCTCTACGCCAAGGCAAAGCAGGCCCCTTGCCATGCCTAGAACTTTTTCCTTCAGACCTACTGGCTCTCAGCCTGAAAAGGCTCTTCTGTAGCTCCCTGCACCCTCCACGATGACGCCCCTTCTCCATTCTTCATGTCTCAGCCTAAAGTCTCTCCTGCCCACCCAACTCAAGGGGGTCTTTGGTATTCTGCCTCAGACGCTTGTTCGGTGACGGTTTGTAGTTACATGTTATTGTCGCCCTGTGTCCTCCAGGCGGGCAGGGCTTCCCCCACCCCACATGTTTAGACACCCTTGTGTCTCCAATACCTGGCAGAGTTGGACCTGGGCATTCAGTGTATGGCCAAGGAAGAGCCAAGGAATGAAGGGTCAAGTTTGCAACCATCTGTCACTTCTATCTGAAGCTCCCTTTAAACCAAGTCTTCTGCCCAGTCCTACATGAAATTACCCCCTTTCAAGTATGTATAGAAGCAGCCGAGGTTACAGCCCAGTTGGGGAGGTAAGCAAAACAGACAGCTCATGTGTGATGGTCACTGCTAGGAAACCAGAATGGAGCCACGGGCACCATGGGGGCACCCTATTGGCCACGTGCCAATGGAGGCTTCCCGGGGCAGGCCTGAGCCACACCTCTCCATGAGGGACACAAAGCAAATCCTTGCTCCTGGGAGACTCCTGAGGTCAGAGCCCAGCAAGACTGCTCACATGTCCACATTCAGAAGCTGCTGCTAATTTCAGCCCCAGGGATACGAGAGAAAGGATGAGATTTGCTTTTGGCACCTCTGCCTAAGCAAGATACTATCTTATTCTTAAACCTGTGAGGTTTGTAGAGTAGGAAGCTCTATGAGGTGGGGGGTACATGAAGAGGGACACTGTGCAGAGGGAAGGCGACTTGTCCAAGATCACTCACCTAAATCACAATAAAGCTGGTTATAGATGCTCAGACAACCGTACAGTATGCAGGCGGTGGAATTCATTCAGTTAATAAATACTGGCTAGGGCCTTCTAAGGACAGGGCCTTTTGCTAGGGGTCAGTGTTGCTGGCAAGAAAAAGGATTAGAGTGCAGAGGGGTGCCCAAAAGGCCATGCCAGAGCTTGGACCAGGTGCTGAGGAACGGCCATCTGGGCACCATGAAGAGTGTGAGGGAGGAGCCTGGCTGAGGCTCCCCACCTGTGTCCTTGTTCCTGGAGGGACTTCCAGGCGCTGAAGCAGGGATGCCCAGGAAGCTACGCAGGCTGGCTCTGGGTCCCCTTCCTCACTTCAACTACAACAGGTGTCTGTTACCTGCTTGGGACCCTGGGGACCCTGGAGTCTGAACTGCATTTTATTACACACACACAAAAGGGATCTATGTAAGAAACAAACGAAAGGAAACTTTGAAAGTCTCTATCTACTCTAAAAACCACCAGCAGTGTCTGTCCTTGAGTAGGTTCTTAATGCCTTTGGACCTGTTTTCTCATCTGTAAAAAAGAGTGAACTTGGTTGCAGTAGCAACCGGGAAGGTCACGACATCCCTAGAGATTGATCTTTCCAGGAAGGGAGAGCACCCAGATGTAGACAGCAAGTCATGGGACCCAGAAACCTTTTAACCCTAGACATCACACTATCTGGAGAACAGGCACGTCCTGTCCCTTCCTCAGCTCCACCTGGGCACAAACTGGACTTCAATCTCCAGGATCTTCGACATCACAGTGGAATCAGAAAGCGAACACAGTTGAACTCATTTCATCTCCCCGCCCCAAAGCAGGGCTTCATTTAAACTCTCTGGCTACCAACAAAACACCCATGGATTAAACAACATCATTTATAGAAAAATGCATGACACGTGGCCCTCTCAGATCATGGGAGCTATTAATAGTATCAGTAATAGCTGGGCTTGGTGGCTCAGCCTATAATCCCGTGCCTTTGGGAGGCTGAGGTGAGTGGATTGCCTGAGTCCACGGGTTCGAGACCTGCCTGGGCAACTTGGCGAGACCTCATCTCTACAATAAATCAAAAAACTAGCCAGGCGTGGTAGCGCACACCTATAGTTCCAGCTACTTGGAGGGCTGAGGCGGAAGGATCGCCGGAGCCCAGCAGGTCGAGGCTGCGGTGGCCGGGAGCGGCCACTGCACTCCAGTCTGGGCGACAGAGTGAGACTCCAACTCCAAAAAAAATAAATAAATAAATAAAAAATAATAATATCAGTAATAATAACACACATTGGAATCTTCTCTCCTAAGTACCCGGCTCCTCTCCCCATGCTGCCGGCCCCTGTGCCAGCTTCCAGTGGTTCGGGGCGTGAAATTGCTTTTGGAGGGTAGCTGGGCAACAGATGGGCAGAGGGGAAGAGGACGGTCCAATCTTGCCCCTGACCTGCCAGCCCCCAACTGGACGCCTTTGGGCAATCACTTAAATCTCTCTGGCCTTGGCTTTCTCTGCCAAAAATGTTTTCCCTTTTTCCTCTGTAAACTTGATCGATCTTTAGTGACCCGTGAAACCTGACACGACTGAGCTACTGAGTTCAATGCCATGGTTTTGTCCCTCCTCCCCCAGCCCCTCTGTCACTGAGGGCCTCACCTGCTCCTACAAACCAACAGCACCCCCGCGTAGACACTGGGCTCCACCCTGCTCGTTCTCCACATCCCCAGCACGCCTCCCATTTTGCTCCCCTCACCACCCAGGCCCAGATGAGCCCATCACCGTCATTGACATCCAGAAATTGCTCCTGAGTAGGCCTGCTCCCATTCCTTTCAGACCCGGCCTGCAGGACCCAGAGTTTGCTTTGTCCCTAGGTCTGACCTCTGGCAAGCTATGGTTGTTGCGGGAATGGAGAATCACCACCCTGAAGTGCTTAGAGCAGTCCCAGGTGCGTGGCTAAGCGCCCCTAGGCGCCCACCATGCCAGCCTTCCTCACAGGAGCCTGTGGCCGCCCCTAGCTCAGAGTCCTCACCTGGCCACCAGTCCCTCTCCTCCCCTCCCCTGCCTGATTCCTACAGGCAACTTTTGGGCCTCTTCTGTGCTCTTAGCACTCACCTCCCCACCCTGGTTTCGGAGTCTCTATCCTCACATGGACTGCAAGCTCCTGGAGGGGAGGGAGAGACCACACCTGCCCCTGCCCCCCACCCCCATCCCAGAAGGCTGCCTGGTGGGAAGAGGAGGGATTCACTGCATCCCATTCCCTGCCCCCACCTAAGCTGCCCCTCTGGCCAAAAGAGGTTTGGGGGCTGGCCTGTGGGTGGGCTTTTTCCCATTAGGGAGAGGCAGAAGGGTGTGTGAAGCCAGGGAGTCCTGTCCTTGAATCTTAACGCTGTCCCTTGGCTGGCCACCGCGGGCAGGTGACTTCTCTCCAGCCTCAGTTCCCTCGTCTACAAAGCGGGCGGAACAGGATTCGGCGGGGCCAAGCACTTGCAGGCAAGGTCAACGGGCTTCTGGCGTCCTCGGGCCAGTCGGGCCGTAGACGCTGCAGGAGGCGAGCCGGTGGGAGGCCTGCGCCCAATGGAAGCCGCCGGCTGGGCAGCGGCAACCGACCCCTCGGACTTCCCTCGGGACGGCGGCGGCCGAGAGGAGGCGGCAGGAACGCGCGGGCGCTTGGCCACCATACCTTGCCCCGCGGGAAGGAGTGCCCTCGCCTAGCCAGAGGTGTCCGCTCGCCCCAGCAAGGCCGCGCTCCCCCACCCCGCACCCCAGACACAATTTGAGGCGGGGAGAGGGTCTTGTTAACGGCCGCCCCCAAAAGCTCCGTCCTCCCAAGAGACGCATCCTCTCGGTTACAGAATCCTCCCCTTGCGAGTCGGCTCTGTCCCCTCTCCACCCCAGATGCGCCTCA